CTTCGTTCGATGAACCAAAGCTACTGTTGTTCGGTGGAGGAAGCTAAGGAATATGAGCCGTGAAGGTTGTCCAAATGGCTGTCGATGGTGGTGGTTGAGAGCAAGGAGGACGGTGGAGGAAGGTGGAGGAAGGAGGCGAGGATCTATTCTGCTCTTGAGCTTTCTTCTTCAATTCTTCTTTCTATTTTCTGTGCTGAGTTTTTTTTTTTTTTTTTTCAATTTTGGCCTTCTATTAGTATTTTTTTAAATCTCATCTTAATTGAAGTTTAAGAGGTTTTTACGTAATAATATTAAAAAGATGAGATAAAATGAGTATATTACTTGAAATGAAAAAAAATGAGTTAATTGAAGAAATAAGATGCAGCCCAACAGGTTGAATGGGTGAAACAAGCCAAACAGTAGAGCGGGCCTGACGGGTTTGAGCAGGCCAATTGCTAAAACGGGCTACAGGTTGTGTTCGACCCATTTTCAAGCCTAGGTCCGATTGAACCTGTTCAACCGATCGGGCTGGGCTGCACCTTAAAATAGTGGTTATATGCTTTGTGGGTTATTGGGTGGAAATAGTTCAAGTTATACATACTTAGTGATCTTGTAAATTTGAGCTATAAATATTAAATTATAATTTGATTGATTGAGATGATGTGTACATGTATATATAAGTAACTGTAGTTATCTTATTTTGTACTTATTTGTATACCTAAATTGTAAAATGTTTTATACTGCATTATACTTATTGAGTTTATAACTCTAACTCACCAAAAGTTTTTGTTTTGGTATTTTTCCTTTGCACATACTTAGTTCTTCATCCTTGGAGTTTATTTTTGTGGTGGAGTTGTCACTCATTTCTCTTAAGGCTTGGTGGGTAAAGTTTAGATAAATAAATGCAAATATATGTCTTACCAAAATTTTTTATCTTGTTATGTAATAAGTACTTTCATAACTTACTGTATTTAGTATTTTATGTAAAAACTAAATTTTAAATTTTAAATTATGGAGATCTCCAAAATTTACTTTTGTTATAATTAAATGGAAACAAGTTCAATGTTTTAATTGTTTTTGCATAAAATACTCTTTGTACATGCTTGTAGGCTCCCATAGCATATATGTAAATATCATAGAAAAAGAGGTGTTACACTAGGTACGAGGCCTTCAAAACTGGTTAGTGTAACAAAATTGCCATTGGTTACGGACAAAGATTGTAGTTATATGATCTCCCAAGGGCTATACTTGTTTAACCATAGATAAAGAGAAATAACAACAAATGAGTGGTTATAGTATCACCGTGCTATTATTTATTATTATCAAATATATTATTTAACAACACTATAAACTGTTGCAAAAATTTAAATCTTATAACAACCTTTACTTGTTTCTATGATTAATATATTGCAATAATAATAGTCATTACTAGAGTTGCTATTTAAAAGAATATTTGGAACAACAAAAGTAGCTTAAAAAATTGTATTTTGTTATGATATTAGTTAAAGAATCATGCTTGTTTAAGAATAGTGATTTTTCTAAAAAGAAAAAAGCATAGTGATTGTTCTTACATGTCATAAATACGTGGATCTTTCTTCTTAAATTTTTGTTGCATAAATTTTTTGGAAACCCAACAATGAGATGTTCAAAGAGATGGTTTTTCACGTGGAATTGATTAGATTAACATGAAGACAAAGGAGAGAATTCTACAAGATGGAGGTTAACAACGCGGATTGGAACAGAAAGATATTGATCCATTCTGTTAAAAGAGATAACTTATCTATAGGAAGGGTAGCCATATTAAATGACCTTAATTATTTTAAGTGAGACTACTAAGGTGTGGTTTTTCCAAGAGTAGAATAATCTTCTCCCGTTATAGTTTCTAAAGCTTATGTGTCTTATTTATTGGTTGATGATGTAGCCATTTAAAGCATGTTTGGTTAGCATTAATTGTTATCCTTTGGTCAAACTATAAATTATAGGATAAAATTATGAGGATTTCTTGAGAAATTAAGAATATATATTTTTACTAATTATAATTGATACTAAATTAAGAGATGATTAAGGAATATGTATTCTCCTCCTACATCTCAGAAATAAGTATTCTAATCAGCTCTTAGTTCAAGGGAAATTTTAACTATTAGGGCTTGTTTGGTTGGGGGTAATGCATATTCCTTGGTCAAACTATAAAAACAAACTAAAATTGAGTAACTTCTATAGGAAGATAGAAATAGCTAAACCTTGATGCCTAATTTTTCTTTTACATTAGAAAAAAAAAATCAAGGAATAGCTATTCTTTAAAAAATAGATGTAATACATATTCCTCATTCATACCTTACTTTAGTAAAAAATTATCAACATTAAAATTTAGCTGTTTTAACTTCATAAGGTAGTTTTTTAAATTTAACTTGTTTCAATTGTTAGATCAAAAAATAGACATTATCCACTAACCAAACTTGACCTTAAGGGGTACAAATTCCTAGCTTCTTAAAGAAACTTTTCATTTATATCTTATTTTGATATAGCTTGATCAAGGTATAAAATAGTTATTACTCTCAATCAAACAAAATTTTAAAGTCTAAAACATGTTTAGTTTAAAGGAATAAGAGGAGAGGTTATTTTATAAATAAAATAATTTAATTAGTTGAAATAACCACCTAAAGTTCTGAATTTTATCTTAGTTTCATAATTTAATCATTAAATAACTATTAGTCCAAATCAAGCATAACCTTTGTCCATTAGCTATGCTCATTTTGTGCTTTTGCTATGCATTTTCTAACATTTCAATAAAGTGGGTCTTGGCACAGGGATACTCTTATACTCTCTCTTTTTCAAAAATAATTTTCATTTTTTACTCAATATATCTCTTAGATTAAATTTTCCTCCTTTTTTTCTTTTAAAATAAATAAATATTTTTTCTAATTTAACCCTATTATTATTGCTTAACATTATTGTCAAACATTTTTATCTTTATTTTTTTATTATGTACTCTATCCATTTATTTTTAATAAAATTAATTTTTTTGTCCAATAAAATAAAAATGTAATAATTGATTAATAAAATTTTATATTTATCCATAATTAAGTATCATTTAAATAAGATTTTTTTATTTAATTTATGTTGTAATTATTTTTGAAAATAAGTGTAAAATAAGAATAAATACATTAATTATTATCCTAAAATAAAAAAAAAACAATTAAATTTGAATGCTCCAAATAAAAAAACTAGGTTTGTTAAAAATGAATATAGGGAGTAATATATGAAAGAATATAAATTATTTGTATGTAGAAAAAGAAAAAAATAACAGTTGTTTTTAGATAGAGGGAGTACAAAGCTCATTATTGATTGATGAATGCAGAATCCTGCATATTTCCATTGAGGGTTTCATTAGTTAGAGGCCAATTTCACAAAGAAAGTTTTTGAAAAGGAAGAAAATGAATATTAGCTATATTTGAAAAAAATTAAACCAAAAAAAATTTCAAAATTACGTTATTTTAATTAATTTTTATTAAAAAATACTGAGACATCCTAGTTTTTAATAAAAGAATGAGACTATTTTAGTCTGTTTTTGTAATATTTTATCGAAATAACATAATTCTGAATGTTTACACTAATCATTTTGAGAAAAGTATTATATCAAAAGTTAAAAATTAATATAAAAAATTGATAAATTTTGTAATAGAATTATGATGAAATTGCATTATGTTGAAATTGTATTGGTATGTCGACATTTCAATATTTGGTAAAAGTTAATATTGAGAAGGATAAAAGAAAATTGTGGAGAGAGTTCCAAATCAGAAAAATTATGGGGAGACTTCTCTCTTCGAAATTTGTGATTAAAAAAAGATTGCTAATTAGAAAGGACTATAATTTAGAGATAACTTTTATATATAAATTTTTTTAGTTTTCTTTATAACTTTACATGTTATTTTATGATTGATTTTATTCACTCTACTAGAACTTGTTATATTATATACATCTATGTATTTAATGATACATAAAAATTGTTGATAACAGTTATACAAATAGATTATTCACATATCATTACCCTATTGGAAACTATTTCAAAGAAAAGGAAAGTTAAAAATATCAAATTAAGCCCATCAAAAAATAGAGCAAACATTAAGAATTCTTTCAAAACCCTTCAATCAACCATGTCATAAAAAGTTAAGAGAAGAAGCAACAAACAAATTAAAATAATTATCAAGATATTTATCTAATACTATTTTATGTCTTCTTGGGTACAAAGGTTAGAGTTTAATACGAAAACAGCATCAACTCTACCTTTCCCTTAGGCGGCATCCCACTAAGGTTGAACTGGACGATAGGAGCAGACAAGCCTATAGGCATTTTGCTTCAATTTCCTCAAGAGTTAACCCTTTTGTCTCTGGTACAATGAAGAATATGAAGAGAAGTGACAGCACTGATATTACTCCAAATATATAAAACACAAGTCCAGCACCAAGCCAAGCCTGTAATCACCCGAACAAAGAACTTGTTAGTAGTAAAATCAAGGGGCATTTGTGTGTAAGAGTAATGTCACAAACAATTATTTACTATAATAAAACAAATACCATAATGAAAACATACACTAGGGCTTTTCTGTCTGGTTTGGACTCATATAAACAGGATATGAAAACATTAGACGCAGAATAACTCTATCCATGATAGTGTGCATAAAGAACCACAAAAATACATGAGAATGACATGAATGCCACCAAGATACTAGTCAATTTTTATCAAAGCTTGTCTTGCTACTATCTCCATAGATTTTGTAAGCCAAATCATAAGCATTGATGTTGACAGAATTGGTGGTGGCTATTTGAAGTCTCTTTATGGGTGATAAACTAGTGTCTCCTCACTGAGGTTACAAGACTCGGTATTACATTAATAACATAATGCCTACTAACAATCAAAATAAAAAAAAGCAATGCCTACCATCCAAAATAATTCTTGTCAAAACTTTCCACTCCTCACTGTATTCACAGTTATTACCTATACAAAAAATATAGAAAAATCCCTTCTATAAAGCCACTAATTCTCTCTCTCTCCAAGCAAGGCAAGAACACAAAGGATCACTGTACTTGTAGCATGTATTCCACATTTTTCATGCGTAATACATGAAATGCTAAACTAGGAAAATGTCCTATATTTTTTATGTCCATGTGAGGATGGCATGTGTTAAGAAGATGAAATGAAAAAAGGAGGAAATTACACTTGTAATCTAGATTGTTTGGAAACCTTAAGTACCTTAAGAGGTGAAAATGAAAATGTTACAAGTGCATTTGCGCCAAAGTTCACAAGCACAGCTATACTGAGTCCTCTCCCTCTTAGGCGCAAGGGGAAAACCTCAGAAATCATGAGCCAGCCAATGGGACCAAAAGATAACTGCAGAGGCAATTTCACAAGCAGCATGGTTAAAACACATGTTAAACTAAAAGACAAACTTAATATCGAAGTATTCAAAATAGGTCGATAACTACTGTCCTTTTCGTGAAATAATCACAAATAGAGAAGTTCCTTCTTTCCTCATGCAACAGGTACACAATCAACATAATGGGAACATAGGAAGGTCACAAGAGGAGACCTCCATAATCTTTAAATTGGTCATTTAGAATGTACTTCAATGAGCCTTGTGCCTAGTTGCCTACCATCATTGATCTGATCCTAAACAACTAGTAGTTCTGTGTATTTGAATTAAGGCAAATCACTTGACAAATGAGCAACTTTTCATGAGACATGTTCCTAAAGATGATTTGGACTTGAGGAACAACCAGTCATTTGTTTTTTTTTTTTTTTTTTTTTTTTCTTATTTATTTAGTTTTCCTCCACATAGATAAAGATGTACATAAACAGTCTCTCGACTTAATACCAAGTTTTAGACAATTAAGCATATTGTGTGTAGGATTTGAATCTATTTGTTAGTCAGTTCAGAGTTTGTCAAGTTTTCCTGTGGGATTCAAATCCAGGACAAGGGATTTGAATCCTTGACTAGGGTCCAAATCCAAGATAAGGGATTTGAGTCCCATATCAGTATTTTACCAAGTCTTCATGTTGTGATACTAACATAAATAGATTGGCTGGGACACTATTTTTATGATGCCACATATCCAACCTTCTCTTTTATTTTCCATACATTAAATTTAGTATCCAAGTCCAAATAAGATGCTTCTAATCTCAGAATTTTTTTGCTTTCCTATTTAATCTCTGTTAGTTCTGTATTTGAGACTGTGTGTAAGTGTTGGAGTACCACTTGTACTTCCATAATAAAAATTTATTTTGCTGATAAAAAAATCTCTGAATTAGTTTATTTTGAAAGTGTCTTATGGTCACCTTTGTCTATTCTAATAAATATGGTCACTGCACCAATGCTCTATGCTAAACAAAGAGTGGACCAAACTGCAGTATCACTTTAGATAAGAAAAAATATCTTAATCAAAGTGGGAAAAAAAAAAAACCTAGTGTCCACTAGCTGATAAAAAATGAAAAAAAAAAAAAACATGTAGCGTCCAAAAATGGTGAAATTAAAAAAACCTTTTACTCCTGGACATGAAAAAACTCATCACTCAAAATAAATCCATAAATTGACAAAATAAGAATTAAAGAATAAAGAATAGCGAATTAGGGTTGCCTACAGCTGCATCAAATTCCAAATGTGCTGGAACTGATATTTTAGGCAATAATGCCATTGATGAGTTTCTTTGTACTAAAATTAAACAATATAATTGAAATTCATATGCAAATGAAAAGGAAATGCTGGTTACCTGATAACACCCAACATATAACAACAGTGCAACAACAGCAACAGCTGGCACATCATCCAAGAAAACGTAATAGGATCCAAGAAGGAACAGAGAGACAACCTGTCACAGAAATATAAGTATATATTTCATTATTGCTGCTACCACTCTGAAATTCACTTCTCATGAATCATTTTTCATGCATAGTATTGCATCTTTCAAGCTTCATTATACATTTTGTAAAAATAAACATCCATGTCAAGTAAAAAGAAAGTAGGATTCAATTCGATCTGACAGAATAGTTAGAAAATTTGCTGGAAGCAGCTCAAGGGACTTACCATGCCAGAAACACCACCTAATAGTAAAGGTCTCCTCCCAATTCTATCAACAACTATGACAGCGACGCCAGTCATAATCAACTACAGAGAAGAATAAGTCAAACATTGAAGATAAAACACATGCCAAGTCCCTTCATGGAAAAGGTCCATAAACCATGCAAAAGCTGGCTAAATGACAGATCAACCATTGACAATGAATAAATAAATGTCAAAATGATTTTGACAGTAACCTCAAGTCAAAGATAGTTATCATAACATGTTTGTTTATGTGAGTAGATGTGCCCTGGAGCTAATTAAACATGTAGGCAATCTGATGTAGTCTGTTCAAAAAAAAATCATTGGGCTGACTATGTATTTTGATTATTTGGAGATTACTTTGCAATTTCAAATGAATTTTAATAATTAGGGATGACTCTGTTGTTTGAGTATTATTTATGTTATTATTGGGTTTCTTATTTCAATCTGGGTCAATTATGTCTTTTTATTACAAAAATGATTTGTTGACAAAGTTTGTTTACAAAATGATGTGGCAGTAGTTTACAATTTTCTTTTCACTCAGTGGGATGTGTGAATGAGTATGTGTCCACTTTTTTGATGCTATGTGGCTGTTATCAGCAAATTATGCAATAAACATTGTCAATGAATCATTGTTGTCTATCAGGAGTCTTATTTGGGTTTTAGATTTCCTACAACTGCTATCATTTCAGGTTTATAGTACATTATGTTAGGACTTGTGTTTATAAAGTATTGATTACTCCTTTAATATTTCCTCTGGTTGTCTATCCTACTTACCCTAATTTCTGACCCTTTGCCTCTGAATTCATTCTCTTTCTCACATATTTATCTATTTTCCCATCCCTTTCTCTCTATTTTCTTTACAATGCAGGCAAAACTCTAATTTCAAAGCAAACATTTCAAAAGATTTCATCCAAGTTTACATGGTTGATTATTAGTTTGCAACCTAAGGTGGAACCAGTTTCTGCCTGAACTGTGGTTTAAAATTTAGGATTTTTCTAACCTGTGCCCTTAGGGCATAGGTTAAGGGTGTATTAAATACACCTTTTCATCATAAATGTACATTGAAAAATGTAAAAGTTGATATTAATTTTAGTGTCAAGTGAATTTAATTGGACAGTTAATAAATTAAAGGTTAACATTTATTGTTTCAATACAAATTTATGACAAAAAAGTGTATTTAATACACCCTTAACCTATGCCCTTAGGGCACAAGTTAGACAAACCCTAAAATTTAAACAAAGCTAATGTGGCATTAGAACTTCCATTTTCCAATTTCAAGTAATATAGATTTGAATTGCATTGAATATAAGTTCAGATAAAGTAGAGAACCCACCTTTAATAAACCAAGTAGAATTGAGACTCTAGTTGCATCAGATGCTGCAGAAAATCCTGCATTCTATCAGATTATAGTAGGTTAGATGTAACTGCAATTTTCAATGAAGACTTTTTTAAAGAATTTCCTTAGATTTTTCTTTAACATAGGCATCTAGATCTTTGGCCCAACTGATCCCATGGGTACCTGCAAACTGTCCCATTCACAGGTACAGGCCAATCACCACCCAAGGGAGGTGGGTACAGCCTATTGGTGGGCACGGACCATCGGAATTGTTTGCACCTACATGGCAATGGAGGGATTTGAACATGCATTTCCAACAAGGATTACATCACTCCTTACCACTTAGCCAACAGCAACGAGTCACAATTACCATGTACAATCAGTATACTAATAAAGAAAGTCTTCATAAAGAGGATACCTCAAGGATTGTCGCGGCATAATATAGTACACTTGGTTGCCCTGTGATCTATCATGAAAATTGATAACATAAGTCAAATGTTGAGAAGAAATGCTTCCAGATATTAGCAACTCAAATAACGAAATTACCTGTTGAAACAAAACTAGTCCTCCGCCAATTATTAGGGCTTTTAAGCATTTCCCACGAAACATTTCCCCTAATGTAGCTTCTTTTTCCTCACCAACAAATTCAAGTTCATTAAGAATCTCATCCACCAGCTCGGAAGCCGAGTCTCCAATAGCTTCACCTCTGAGCCGGCACAAACAACGTATTGCCGTCTCTTTTAAGTCCTGCATATTGCCTTTCCCCTGAATGGCACGCAGTAGTATCCATCTAGGTGACTCTGGAAGCCACCACATTCCAATTCCCATGATCACTGCCAAAGGAGTACTAGCTCCATACATATAGCGCCAACCAGCTATAATGTCAACTAAAAGGCTACCAATCCCATAGCCTGCCTGAAAAGTAACTATTAGATTAATTACTTTTCCATATTCAAAAAAACAAAAATCCAAAGAAGCTACAGACAGCAGCATAACATATAAAATTGTTCCTTAAAAACTCTAAAGTTCACATAACAAAGTGGGAGCACTTACAACCATCCCAAGTACTATAAAAAACTCTTTGAGCGAGATTAGTCGACCACGTATCTGGCTTGGAGCTGTTTCAGCAATGTACATTGGAGCTGCATGCATTGCCTTGTGGAAAAGGAAGATAAGAGTGATTCACTAAAAATATTAGGTTACAATATGTTTAGTTATTAACCAAGTATTATATAGATACACTAATGCCTTGCAAAAAATTGAAAAGGGTATTATGATCTGTATTACCAGTCCAATACCTATGCCGAACACAAACCGCCCAATTATCATAACAACAAAGTCAGGTGCAAGTGCTGTCACAAGGGCTCCAACTAGATATAAGATAGAAGCAGTTATCAACTCCCTTCTTCTTCCTTCAAATCAAATTCATTGTATCAACTTCATATTAAAAAAGAACATTATCATCATGTTTGGACTTGAGGTTTACAACACAAAGAACTTACCAAGAAAGTCAGCAATATTGAAGGCCAAGATAGAGCCAATCAAAGCCCCATATAAGGAGCCACTAGTCTGCAAAAAGCAAAAACAAGATTGAATAGAATCACTATTGATTCATTGCCTAGCAGACATGTCATTGAGGAAAACAGGCAAATATGTAAAGAGCAGACTGGAGACAGATTATAGAGAACAAGCATTTCAAGAACAAAGCAGTTAGAAACTTACTATAAGACCGATTTCGACAGAAGACAAATCATACCATGAAATCCCACTTAGTGTAGCTGACTGCAACCAATAGAAGGATTAGATAAGCTTAAAAGATTACTTATGAAAATCAAAAAAAAAAAAAAAGAAAAAGAGAGGAAACAAGTCATGTACACCATCCTTTCTCTTACACCCTAAAAGAGGAATAAACTCAAAGTTCATCACCGCTAGGAGAAATTTTGTTAGAGCATACATTTTGACTTTCATCGATGGAAATGATTCAAAATTTCACATAAGCTTATTCGAAATCAACAATAATATCATGGCTAGAAATAAAGGCCATAACAATGGTCAACAATCAAGGTAGAGGAGAATGACAGATACAGAACACAATAACTCTTAAGACATGAACATAACACCACATAAATGTTATGAAGCATAAATCAATACTAATACATTAAAATATAGAACATTCGTGCAAGCATTATATCTCTCCATAGGTGCTGCATTTTCTTTTTCTTTAAGGTATCTTGAAATTATACCTCTATAGATATTAAAGCACAAGATGTTGCACCAATATCATAACCATAAAGTAATCCTCCAAGTGCTGGGAACAGAAACCTGAAATCATCAAGACAGTGCTTAAGTATAAAAATTAATATTTTGGATGTGGATTTTCTGCTTCATTAGATAACAACTAAAGGGTCAGTTGGTTATCACTTATCACTAAGGCTGATAGCTTTCCTTGATGTATTATGACACATAATATAAACAACATTCACTGCATTGGTGAAATTCTGAAGGATTAATCAGTATTGAGTTATTAGATTCTAAAGAGGCAGCTATTTGTTTCTTCCCATTTCCTTAGACCATTTACAATTTTGTCCTATTGAAGCATAACTTTTAGCTGATGGCCAAAATAAGGATAAATTTTAGCATTAGGCACATTTAACTGCCATTAAAACAAAGCTAAATTGTGAAATAACTAAATTGATCAGAAGAAACATCTCAGTGAATATGAACTGATTTCTAGTCACATGCAAGGAAGCAAACTTCTTCCTACATAACTTAGTGAAAAATATTTCTCCAAATCTGAAATTCCTATAGGGAGCCAGGAATTATAACTTCGCCCCCACTCAAATCTAGTCAATTCAAATTTATGAATTTAAAGTCAGGTTTTACAAATCAAAATTTATCACATTTATTTTAATTCACCTTGAAGAATAGGGAGTAGAAAATTTTAGAAAATTTTCCCTGTTTCGTTGCAAAATTTTACCAGGACCTATGATAAGCTGGCTGCCGAACCACACATGTGGCCAACTGGACACCAGAAATTAAGATCAGGGCTATAAGTAGATATTTTGACCACCTCTAACCAAACGAATGGACATATCAGTGAATTTTAAAAGGTAATTCAAGATGAAAAAATAAAAAATAAAAAAGAGCAAAGTTCAACGAGCATAAACTCACGGGAGAATAGCCGCAGCAACAGAATAGTTTTCAGAACTGCGAATCCCATTAACAAGAGGCTCTTGCTCTGCACCAATCTCTCGAGAGGACTTTCCCACCTATCAATCAACAAGGAATTTCAGACAACTGCAACTAAAAGTGAAAGTTTTGGTTTTTTCCTGAAAAAATCACGTATGTTAAATTATACAATTACAGGCTGAAATTTAAACAGATTTCATTTTTTTCATTCCTTTGAAATTTAATAATTAGAACTTACAGAAGTAAGGGAAATTTCTTTAACAACATTCCTTACTATTCTTTTTAATCCAAAAGGATTCAAATCGATAAAACTGAACAAAATATAGCAAAAGAGTAAGAAAATTTTGAAACAATTTTAAAGAAAAAAACATTTGAACAATTCTGAAAGAAGTTCAAAAGTACAACTGATTCAAAGGAATCTCAAAAGCATTTAAGGACTGGATGTAAGGGTTGAACTACCCCTTATACTCAGAATTAATAAAATTTTGGTTGTTTTAGGGTGAAAGGCAAATACGTTGGAGACTAGATAATGAAGAATACCATAATTGAAAAGTTTGTATCTTCCAATTACCCTGACAAATAAAAACCCCTTTGTTTGCCTCTAGAGTGAAGAGAAGAAGTAGAAACGACGTTAGAACCCAATACCCATTGATACTCAACACCCATTTCATTCATTCAGAACAATATATTAATAAGTTCTTCCGTGGCTTGTGAGTTTTAATTAAGTAAAAAGACAGATTAACAATTGGAGAAAAACGAAAACCCAAATTAAGCGTTGAAGTAAATGGAACCTTTCCCAAGGAGGGTAGGCTGGATTGCTCAGAATCGGACGCCATGGCTTGAAAATTTGGTATGGGAACAAAGGGGGGGCCGACGTTCTTTATATGCGTGGAAGGTGAAAAAGGAGAAAGGGGGTTCAATAGCAGTTCAAACTTCAAATGGGTAGACAAGAAATTTGAGGGTTGATTGTTTGGTACCCAAATCCTTATCGTCAAATTAGCACATTGGTTATCTTCCAGTTAGTTGAAGTTCACGAGCTTTATTTATTTATTTTCTCTCTCTCTTCTTTTTACATTTTTTTATTAACCCAGTTAACAACGACATTAACGTATTGTTTGAATAGAAAATAGTAAAGGGAAGGGAAGGGAGGGGGATGGAGGGTAAAAAAAGGGAATGGAGGGGAAGAAAAAGAAAGGGAAGGGAAGAAAATGGAAGGAAACTAATTGTGTTAATTTTGTTTGGATAAATAAAAAATGAGGAAGAAGAAGAGAATGAAAGGATTGTATTTTTTAGGTTAAATACAATAAATAGTTTATTAATTATGTGATTTGTTTTAATTTAATTTAGAAATAATTTTTTTAAATAATTTATAAACTATCAATTTTGTTTTAAAATTGTTTACTTGGCAACATTCTATTGATTTACTAACAGAATTCTTTTGACAAATTGCCCCTTAAACTTTTGAAAAATATTATATATAGTATATATATTTTTATTTTTTACAACATTTTGTTTTTGAATTTTAAATTTTTTTTATCAAATATAATAATTAATCAAGATGAAATTTCAATTTATATTCATTAAGATTCTAATTTTAATTTATAATAATCAATATTACAATTTAAGTTTTATAATTTCTAAAAAAAATTAATTTATTATTAAATATTAATATTTTTAATAAGTAAACCCTTCCAAAATTTAATTTAATTAAATGAGCACCCACATATAATTAAAATTACCTGAAAAATAAAATTTTATTTCAATTTTATAAATCCCCAAATTAAAATCATGCATGTATTATTAGTGTTAAAAATAAAAATAAAATTTTTTATTTTTCTATACAAACTAGTGAAAAAATATGTAATTTAATAATGATATTAAGTTTTTTAAAAAATAATAAAATTTAAATTATAATATTGATTGTTATAAATTAAAATTAAAATTTTGATAAGTGTAAATTAAAATTATTATCTTAATTAATTATTACATTTGCCATAAAATTTAAACTTCAAAAACAAAATATTGCAAAAAACAAATATATATACTAAATTTAACATTTTTCAAAAGTTTAGGGGCAGCTTGTCAACAATTAGAAAAAACTCTGTTAGTTAGTTAACGAAATGTTTGTTAAGTAGACCATTTTAAAACAAAATTAATATGTAGTCACAAAATCTGCAAAATCAAATAATATGTATTGATTTGCAAAATAAATACAAATTATTATAAACTTGAAGAAAAATGAGAAACAATCTCTGATTTGGAGTGCTGCAGTGCACGTGCTTGAGCTTTAAAGAGTAACACGTCTTAGAATAGCAAGATCCTTTGATTAACAACTAAATTTTAGAAGGGCAAGGGCTTAAGCTTGTTCTTGTCCTTCAAGGGATTTAAGACTTACACTTGAAACTTTTCTTCCTTTACATGCATTTGGAGCTTACCCTTGGCAGCAGGTTGGGACTGAAGGGCAAGGGCTTAAGCTTGTTCTTGTCCTTCAAGGGATTTAAGACTTGCACTTGAAACTTTTCCTCCTTGACATGAATTTGGAGTTTACCCTTGGTAGGAGGTTGGGGCTTGAAACTTCGAGAATTGTTGAGGGAGCTTGAAGCTTGTTGTTCCTCTCCTTTTCTCTTTCTTCCTTCTTCCTTTTTTTTTTTTCTTTTTTTTTTTCTTCATCAAATGATGGCCTATTTATAGGCAAAGGAATTTTGCCAAATGACCTCAAATACCCTTCACTTTAAGGATAATTTGGTCATTTTAATATATTTATTTATTATTAAAGAAAAAATATCTCTTTAAAGATTTATTATCCTAACTTTCAAGATTTTTACTAGGGTAAATATATTTTAATTTTGACAATTTTTTTAATGCCTACATAATAATTTATAGATCATTTTGAAAGAAAAAATTGTTTCTAAACTGAACTGAAATAAATCACATAGTTAATAGACTATTTATTGAATTTAGCCTATTTTTTATGTTTGGATAAAAAAGTAAAAAGAAGGGAAGGAAGGGAAGGATTTAAATTAATTTTAAATGTACTAATTTACCCTTTAAGCTTGTAATGGGATTATGTATTCTTTCCCCCTTGCTATCATTTGTTCAATTCATTCAATCACTCCATTATCCACCGCAAACAAGCATAAGAGAAGCCCAGGCATCTTACCATATGTCTTTTTCGGGTCATAATATAACTTTAGGTTACAAATTTGATAAATACAAATTAAAGGGAAAAAATTATTGGTTGAAAAAACATAAAATTAAAATTTAACAAGAAATAGCAAATGAAGCAATCAGTAAACAATGATTCTAAAAATAAAAAGCAAATAATTTTATTACAATATAATCTCAATGATGCCAATAAACCATAAAATAAAATAACTAATAAAAACCAAACCACAAAAAATTATTCAAACATAAATTCCAATTGATGCATTCTAGATTAGTCAAATTTAAAAAATAAAGGTAAGGATTGTGCCCAAGAACTCGATGATTAAGAAGTACCAAAAACAACCCTCATAACAATATCCAAGCGTCTCCCCAGTGGACATCCTAGTACTGCTCTTAATTTATTTGAATGCATAAATAATCAGAGGTAATTTGATTTAAGTTAAGTCCCAAATCCTCCGACATATTCCAAACTTTAGCCTTTAAAAGTGGAGGACGTGAATTCCCTTTAGATAGAGCTTGAGCTACATTGTTGATAGCTTCTTGAGTGCTCATTGCTTCATTTTCAATTTCTTATGACTTCTTTATTTTTTTAGATTTTGAGTTAGTTGGCACACTTGAAGGACCTCCAAGACATGTCAAAGGATCAAATCAACATCATTAGTTCCAAAACCATCCAAAGGCAACTGATTCTATGACGCCATATGATCAATATCCTCAATGATATTGTGAAACTTATTATCTTGTTGGGATGATTGCTTTTTTTTTTTTTTAATTCTTTTACAATCTTTGACTTTTCACCTGTAGCTCAATCATTTCCAAATAGTATCACAAATGTGTCATAGTGCAACACTAGTTTTGTCCTCCACTCTTTAGCATCCTTATTGCACTCCATAACTTGGTAATAGGGTTCCATGAAAAACCACTAAGGTTTTTGAATAAATCATGAGATTTTGAAAGGTTTGCCTTCAATGTTTTGATGCGATTTTTAACCTTATCTTTGTCAACATCCTTCCCAAGTTTTTCTTTCAATTCATTAACAATATTTTCATATGCTTTGGTGGTAAAGGAACCATTTACCCTATTGCTCAAATTATGTTGATGTAGGAAAGCATCCATAAGAGCCTCATCCATTATAGGTGTCCATACTAATTTGCCTTCTTCACTTGCATTTTCAATATTACTATTTTTCTTCTTCCCACCCATACCTAAATAAAAGAAGTTATTAGATAACTTTAATAAGTAAAAATTTGTTATAAAGAAAAATTATTAATTATAACATTAAAAAAAAGTAAACAATTCAAGAACAAAGAAATTACCTAAGTCAAAAGAACAAAAAAAAATTACAAAAAAGACAAATCTAAAAAGCTATTAAGTAAACTAGTAATTTTTGCAATTGTGCCACATATCAGTAGCAATGACATCTCTCAACATTTCCCCCTTGGTGGCTACTTCTTTTTCCTCTCTAGAAGTACGAGCTTGTTGGGAATTATCTTGATTTCTCAATTCCATATCTACCTCAGCTATAAGGTCTTCATCAGGATCCACACCCATTAAAAAATTATGAATAATGCAGCAAGCTAAAATAATTAAATTTTCAGTTTTCACTCCATAGAATGGTTTGGATCCGCCTCTTAAAATCTCAAATCTTTTTTTCAAAACACCGTATGCTCTTTCAATAGCATTACGTAGGGATGCATGCCTAAGATTAAATAATTCTTTAGCATTTTGAAGAGGATTATATGAGTATTCTTTGAGATGGTAGTGAACTCTTCTATAAGGAGTTATAAGACCACTTTTTAGCATAAATCCAGCATCAACAAGGTAAAATTTTCCATATGGAATTATTAGCTTATCTTCTCTTTTTAATGCATCCTTAATAATTCTAAAATTTGAGGCAGTCCCTTCCCATTCTGTTAACACATAAGTGAACTTTAAGTCAAATGTAGAAGCAGCTAAGACATTTTGGGTTGGATACTCTTTTCTACCACAATATTTAAGGGCATCTAAGGGTGAGACTTTTACACAAATGTGTGTTCCATCAATTGCACCTACACAATCTTTAAAGAATGGATAGAATCTACTACTTGACATTGTCTCCACAGGGATTTATGAACCATTTGGTTGTTTGATAAATTTTTCTTCAACTACTATTATAGCTCTCAACATACTATGAAAATGTTGGCTAGTAGTTTCTCCGGAACGTCAAAGCCAAAATTGAACTGAACGATTTTTTGCATTATTAGCTAGAATATAAAGAGTTTTAGCTACTTGTTCTTCAATAGTTGCTCTCCTTGTGGGTTGGAGACCTCCTTCCCTTTCAAGTATGTCACAGAATTGTAGAAAAGCTTTAGGGCCCATTCCTATAATAAAACAGCTTCTATCACTCCTTACAATTTTGTTCATTATTTCATCTCAACCTCATTCTCTCTCATTAATTATATTATCATCAAGAAGCTTCCTTTTTGATCGACTTCTAAGAAACCACCAATAAACAACTAAGCATATTACATGAGCAATGCCCCTCCTACGCATGTCTCTCATGGCATCCATCTATATTTATAAAATACAAATTAAAATTTTTATAACTAAGAAATGAAAGATTAATCAAAGGCTAACAATGTACAAATATAAATATAAGGTATTTCAATATACAAATATAAACTAACAATTTTTAAATTAGAAATACCTTGATCAATACTTGAAGGCTAGCAAACCAAACCCTTATCTCAGCTTTGTCCTTTTAAATCTAATTATAACCAAGCAAGTGAACAATAACTCACTTAAAACACAAGCAACATGTTAAAATATAACCAAGCTTG